ATATATATATATATATATATATATATATATATATATATATATATATATATATTTAATAGGCTAACTGAAACATTTAATTATATATTTGAATATTTTGAGATAGAATGATTTGTTTCATTTTATTTCAAGGTGCATTTAATTGAATATTTCATAAGGTTTTTAATTTTAAGGCATATTTAATTTCAGGTGGTATTTCATATATTTAATAAATACATTTCACACCTTATTTACTTATACTTACATTTTATTGTTTATTTATTAATTGCAACATCCATGCTGTATTTCATTATTTCATTATTTAAAAAAACAATTATACAAATAATGGTTAGTTTAATTTGAAAAAATCTGTCATTATTTACTTTAATATTGTTTTAATATCTTGCATATACTTTTCAAAATAGGCCCTACTGAAAAAATACACTACGCCTATATAATACAATAAATGCCATTGCTATGTGAGAGAAATAGCCTGATATATAAATATATAGAATTGATAATTGATCATTTGTGACAATACAAAACTAATAGCATGTAATAAAGCTATATTTAAATATGTATGTCTTTATGTCTGTAGCCTACAGTAGCTATACCTGCCAATCATGCACATGGTCATGCTAGTGCAGTATAGCATCAAATATTTACACAATTACTCAAATATTATATCTAGTACTGTGAAGGCCTATGTGTAATCATCTGAATACACAGTTAAAGCTAAAATTCCTGCATTTTTACTCTCCTCCAGAGCAAGACGAGCGCTCCAGAGAAAATACAGAGCAGTGGAGAGAGTTTCACTACGACGGCCTCGACCCATCTTACGAGTACAACCGACACACGGTGTAAAACAGCGGATAACTACAACAGAACGGGTAGAGAGCTTTACAGTACTTTACAGTAGATTTCTGTGAAGGCGTTTCGGCACAATGTCTGCAGTAAACATGCACACAATAGCGCAAAAGAACGTAGCCTTATAAATATGTGTATTCATGCATGCAGAACGTATGTAATCCATGTATCATAGTTCTTTAAGAAGGTCTCATGAAAATGCGTATAAATAGTACGCCAAATAAAAACGAAAACTCGTGGTATTGATACGCAAAAATGGACTTTGGCGTGCATATGATACGTATGTGTTTGGCGTGCATAGAATACGCAGTTTTCGCGTGCATATGATACGAAATTTGTTGGCGTGCATATGATACGCAGTTTTCGCGTACATATGATACGCATCTACCTCACAACCCTAAACCTACCCATCGCGTAGCATATACACGCCAAAGTCCATTTTTGCATATCAATACCACGAGTTTTCGTTTTTATTTGGCGCAGGCCTACTATTTATACGCACTTTCATGAGATCGGGTTGTTTATTCATATGTAGGCTTTCATAACCCTTACTGTATGACTAAACTCGCCAATTGTTATTTTTATGGCTAGTTTAAAATCTATTGAACATTTCGTCACACACTATAATGACACAAGTCATTTAATCATTCAAAGTAACCCGATTTTTATTCATTTTGTGCTGGGACAATGTAAAGTGTTACATTTAACACAAACATTTCATGTTGTAAATCTTTGTAACAGCTACTTTAGGTTGCATCACAATAAGTCAACAATAAATCTGGTGTTATCTTTGTCTTTAATGAAAATTTGAAACCATACACTCACCACAGAACAAATCTACTAAAGAGAAAACACTGCTTACATCATTTCAGCGACCTGAATGAAAGAACCAGCACGCAGCTGCTAAATTCAGAGGGCCGGTATGAAGACCAGGATGACATGCAAGATTTAGAGCAGAAACTGTTTGAATCTCTCACAGTCGTATATCAGTGGACACATCATATCAAAACAGCTTCAGTTAAACTTGGAAAAGTTTTCGTTTTCGCTTCCCTGAAACACAAGATCAGCAAATACAAATGTCCGCCACTGAAGCAGGTACTTTTCATATAGATCTGTGATAAAACATACACGTTATTGGTCAAGCGTTTATCAATTTCCTTATTAGCCACAATTGAAAGAACTAAATTATGATAACAGTTTACATTACAGTGTCTATATTACATATATTTAATAATAATAATAATGTACTATTAATAGTAAGTGGCAATAGCAGCATTTACACAAAATGTTACAATGCAACATAATCACTGCAATGTAAAGTGTGACCAAGTCATTTAAAAAAAGCAAAGCTTACGAAATAAATCCAAAACATACACAAAATAGTACTTTTCACCATCATATTTTATACCTTCAGAAACATTTGACACAAATCACTCCAGATTCTTTCACTGATATTAACAAATTGCTGATAAAAACGTTAAACGACACACTACTGTTTGTTTATACAATATTCACATCCTTCATTCTCAGATTAATAAATGCCAGACGCATCCAGGACCGAATTTCAAGTATATACCTATTGGATGACAATAAACGTGGCTACTGGTTTAAAGCCTGTATTTGAATCTCACATCCTTTATCGTTTGGTTCTTCAAAGCAGCAGCAGGTTGAAATAAAGCAGCAAAACGTTACAAGAACTCTTTAATGAATGAAAATCGTTTTATCTACACCTCTTTATCTTCTATTAAGACTCAGAGCAGATGTTCTTCATCTCAAGGTTCGTAATCTCCATTCAACAGCCACATAAAACAGTCCCCTGAAATTCACACAGGCCACTATTTATGAATCGGTCTTGTTTCATAGCACTCCATTGGCTTTCCAGAAAGGAAAACTGGTTTGATTGGGCGACTGTGGACAATGGAAGTTAAATAGAAGAAAACACGTCTTTCCACAAAGTGCAACAGTCAAGTGAGCAGTCTGACAGGAAGTGACGTCATTTGGAGCCAGTGATGATGGTAGTGACCGTGGATGGCCGCGTGTGCTGCTCGGACGAACCTAGACAAAGATAACACCCTCCTCAAGGGCTGTTTGACAATACGACATAATACAACACACAGCACATCACTGCTGATGAGTAACTCAAGTTGGTCAACAAAAGTCTTGTGAGTTTCATGAAAAATAAAGGCAAAAACTTACAGTCGTTGCGGTTGACTGAGGAAACATCGACCGACTGACTCTTCCCTGGCATGGATGTTAGATTCTGCTTCCTGTGTTGAGAGGAATCCATACTGCTGCCGAGCTGAAGACGCCTCATATGTCTGATCACTGCGGTAGCATTAAACGCTTGCTGTGAGAGAAGAATACAGAATTTGAAATCACCTTTCATGCTGTTCAATGTAAAATTTCTTTTTGGAGGAAGGAGGAAAGGAAGTGGTCACTGACTCGCCATTTTGCTTTGGCAAAGTTCTTCTTCATCTGCCGGCTGACTGATTCGTGGATGTTCTTACAGAGCGCAGTATCACCAGCTATCCTGCAATCAGAGGAGAGTCAGCAGTTGGACGTCCTATCGTATCATCTGGCATCCATAAGGAGGCAGAGTCTTGAGTTTAACTATATAACGTAAAAACATGAAGCTTTGTGCTCCAGTGTTATTTTAGTATCATTGCATACTATTATAGTTTCCATTTATATTTTAAATAAGTTACATTTTTACATTTTGTTGTTTATTTTATTTTTAAATTTAAATTGAATTGTTTCATTTTTATTACTTTTTAATAAATGTCTACATTTTTATTACGGTAATTTGTATTTTAGTGTTAGGTTTAGTTATTTTAGTACATCAAGTTAAAATGAGAAATGTTGGCTATTGGCTAAAATAAAATACTGAAATAAAAATAAAATAAAAGTTAATGTTTAAGTTATTTAAAAAAAAATGATTCAGTTTTGTTTTAGTACACTAGTAACCCTGTGCTCAATAACATCATGAGATGAATATAATTACAGTTCTTGCAAGGTAATAATTAATATTATATAATTTATTATATGTAATTTATATATATATATATATATATATATATATATATATGTATGTATGTATATCTTTCATGCTCACCATGGCTGCATTTATTTGATCTAAAATGTAAACATTTTAAACATAAAATACCTGTTTTTTATTTTAATATATTTTAAAATGTAATTTATTTTTGTAATGCAAAGCTGAATTTTCAGCATCATTACTCCAGTCTTCAGTGTCACATGATCCTTCAGAAATCACTCTAATATGCTGATTTGTGCCTTTTCAGGATTCAGTGATGAATTGAAAAGAACAGCATTTATTTGAAATACAAACATTTTGTAACATAAAAGTCTTTACTGTCACTTTTGATCAATTTAATGCCTCCTGTCTTAAAACGATTAACTTCCGTTAAAAATACTTTTGAACTGTGTATATAAATTCTCGCATAATATATACAAAAATAGGCCTATTTTTTTTTTTTTTTTTTGATACTATTTTTTGCATTATGACATTTTTGACATTCCCAGTTCTCATTATTGTAATGCATATTAATAAATATAATTTATAATATAATATAATTATATAATTCAGGATGATTGGACCATTATTTCCCAGTCATTTCAATGTCCTAATTTACCTTATGCTTAATGTTATTGACAGCAACTAAAACCTTAAACCAGCAGCAACTAATATAACCCCAGGAGTTTTCATGCGAAAAAATGTAAACACAATGTGTCTATATTCCTGGTCGCTCACCACGGATGCCGAAGAGCCTCTTCACAAGTGAGCCTCTTTTCTGGATCTTTCTGCATCAGGTTACTAATGAAGTCTTTAGCTATGAAACAACACAAATGTGAAAATAAAGAAACCTGTATCAGTTACACAAGGGCGCAGTTCTAATTGTGAAAAAATGACACCCTCCTACACTTCCCCAGACACCAGGGAACAGCTTGTGGTGTGGGTGTCGAGTTGTTATTTTCAAACGATGCCGAATGGCCTGGCGCCAGAAAATGCTTTTCAACTGCTGATTTATATCTGGCTGCAATACCAGTGTTACTTTCGAAAAAACCCTTATTAAAGTGGTGCTCATGGGGGAAAAAAATGTCGTGACTGTCAGTGACAAGTAAACACAAGAAAGCCAAGTCATACTTAATGATGGCATTTAAGTGGGTAGAAGAGACAAAAAGAGGTGAAAAAAGGTGTAATTTTCTCCAATACTGAAGCTGATATGAATAAATGTAGAGTTTAACTCATTTAAGGGTCATTAAAGGGATAAATCACCCAAAAATGAAAATTCAGAAACTAAATAGTTTCATGTCCCACTGACTTCCATAGTACGAACAAAAACACTATGGAAGTCAATGGGACCCAATGAGTCACCAACATTCTTCAAAATATCTTCTTTTGTGGTCTGGAATGACATGAGGGTGAGTAAATGAGGTCTGTTTAATATAGGATTCATTTCACAGTGGTTTCCAATGCTATACACACCTGAATCAGAAATATCGTCCCAATACGGGGAATCAAACTCGTATTCGGCCCTCAGTATTTGCTCAAAAAGTTTGGAGTCATTCTCGTCATAAAACGGAGGGTATCCACACAACCTGAGGAGGGCGTGGATTCAAAAGTGATGAGTATTTTAAAATAATGACTGTAAAAATGGTTTGGAAAGCAACCAAGTGTGTTTCATATGGGGTTAAAAAACACTTACAAGATGTAAGCAATCACTCCTATAGACCAGCAGTCCACAGCTTTGCTGTAAGGTTTCTGTGCTAATACCTCTGGAGCTGAAGTAATAAAAGACAGAGAAAACAAATGAAATGATGCATTTACTAAAGTGTAAAAGGGTAATTATGGATAATTGACCCCAAAACAAATTGAATCATCATTTTGATCATCTCATGTCTATAGACGCTTTTTTCTTAGAGATAATTGCAATTTTTTCATCTCACAATTCAGACTTTCTCACAATTCTCAGAAAAAAAGTAAGAATTGCAAGATTTAAACTCGCAGAAAAAAAGTCAAGAACAGTAAGATGTTAACTGACAATTGCAAGAAAAATTACTTAATTGTGAGATTTAATAAATTGCTATTCCTTTTTTATTTTATTTTATTTTTTATTATCCCGTTTTCTTGACAAATTTGCTTCTTAACCACTTTTTTGTGCTTTTTTGGACTTGACAGACAAGTACACATTATCACTTCATAGTATACAATTTGCACAGAAATTGTAAAATATTTTATATTTGTATATTTTATACCAAAATAAAAGGATATGAAACATATGAATATGGAAACAAAAACATATGGATTTGAAACACCAAATTTTATATTTGCATGAACTATTCCTTTACGTATACTGTAAAAAAAATTAAAATAATCAGTGAAATTTGCGGTAAAAATGGCAGTATGGTTAAAAAATGCATACATTTTGTAAGTGTCATAATACTAACATACCAAATGACTAAAATATCTATTATTTTACCTTTACAATACAATGACAAATACTTTAAAAACACAGGTGGTAAAGAGAAATAACACTAAATTGATGCAATATTTATTAATAAAACCCTTATGTATATAACTGATCAGAAAAATAATGATATAAGACTTAGTTATTTCAGTGAACAACCATCAAATGGGAGAACTCTAGGAATGTCAGTTTATGGTTTTTCAGTGTACAGTTACAGTATAAGACTTGTTCTTTTTCACTTTTTAAAAAACTGTATATTTAACAATATTGTACTGTAACAGTATAGATCTATTAGTTTTTTTTTTAACCATATAAAGAAACTTACCGTTAACCAATTAACAGTTTTTTACCAATAAAATGACAATCATTTTATTAAATCTTCAGATTCGGTGCAGAATAACACTGATATTTACCCACATATCCCGGCGTCCCACAGGCTGTGGACATGATGTCATTGGCTGCGCCCTCCATCTTGGACAGCCCGAAATCACTTATCATAATCTTGGATTCTTCATGTGGGTTATAATAGAGCAGATTCTCTGGCTGTCAGGAGATGAGAGAGAAGAGAAGGTGATAAGGTTTAAAAGTCACAGGGAGTTATTTTACACCGTACGTCGCAGTGATCGCAGTGCGGTGTCCTTTCATGCCTCATGTTCCAGCTTCCTTGTTTCCACTGAAGTGGAAGTGAGTGATCGCAGTGCGGTGTCCTTTCATGCCTCATGTTCCAGCTTCCTATATACTGTATAGTGAAAGTATATCGATTTGTTTTGGTGTGAAGGAAATCAGTCAAGGGAAATCATCACCTTCAGGTCTCGGTGGACTATCCCCAGTGAATGCAGGTAGTTAACCGCATCCAGAACCGGCTTGATTAACGCGCTGGCATCCTGCTCCGTGTAGAAACCCCTCTCTACTATACGATCAAACAACTCCCCACCTGACACACTGAAAAATTAAATAAATCTGTTTTTAACAAATGTTTTTTTTAATAACGTATAATAGTTAGTTCTAAATTTCAAAATTACATGCAGGTATATATAATACTGATTACTGTCAATAAAATGTAATGCATCCTTGATGAATAAAAGGATTAATTTCTTACAGAAAAAATATACTGACACCCAAACTTTTGAACAGTATATGTTTTCTACTTCATTATAGCTTTTTTATTCACTTTGTAAAATAAAATAAATAAAATAAAAATCATTAAAAATAAATACAAAAATCAATGAAATGAAAATAAAATGAAAAGTTAAAGAGTGGTTAAAATAAATGCATTAATATGTGGTTGCCAGGGATTTCTGTGTGGTTGTTAGGTATTTGTTTATTGGGCCAAGTCAGAATATAGCAAATTTGATTGTTCAGAAAAATAATAACACACCTTCAGTCAATAAGCAGCATGAAAAACAAAACAAAACAAAACCAAACCAAAAGCAAAGCAAAAAAACCCAAAGAGCAAACCAAACCAAAACAAAGGAACACAACCTCCCCCCTCCCCAAAAGCAAAACAATGCAACGCAGAAGCAAAACAAAAACCCATTATTAATTCAATTCAACAAGCAGCAAAAATAATAATAATAATAATAATAAATAAATAAAAAGAATGGTTAAAATGCATGCATTAATATGTGGTTGCTTGGGATTTATGGGTGGTTAAGTACTTATTTACTGGGCCAAAAGCAACAAAAAACAAAGCAAAGCAAAAAAAAGCAAAAAAAAAAAAAAAAAAAGGAAGACAAAAAAAAACCAAATCAAAGGGAAAAAACTAAAGCCTGACCGATATATTTTTTTTGCCGAAATTTTCGGCCCTA